GAAAGTGCACGTGGCGGAGTTTAACATGTATGTGAGCGCTAAATCCTAACCTTACATCGGACTGTTACATTTGTGTAACAGTACAATACGAGAAAAAAATGTAAACTAGACAAAGTGATGCCCCCGCACTCAACTCATTTAACTGCTTATACCCCAAAAATGACAAAAAAAAGTTCAATTATCTCCCAAAAGAGCAAAAGATAATAAAAATAAAAACCCTGACCACATGCACACCTTCAATATATGTACAAACAGCCAGCTGAGTGAAAACTTCCTAGCATTCAAACTGTAGGAGGAGTTATCTGGAAACGCTCTTCTTATGCAAGTAAATTTCCCAAAAAATTACAAAGTTCAACTATCTCCCAAAAGAGCAAATATTAATAAACATTAAACCCTGACCACATGCACACCTTCAATATATGTACAAACAGACAGTAAAGAGAAAACTTCCTAGGATTCAAACTGTAGGAGGAGTTATGCGGAATAACTATATACCCATAATGGGACGGACAGACGAACAGGGGTAAAACAATATGCCCCCCAACTTCCAGTTGCGGTGGCATACAAAACAGTTTCATTTGGCTGATTCAATAGATCGGTATGACTTGGTAATATAAATCCATCGGGGTGATCTCGGATGCTCCAGAAAGGCACCCGTCGTGTTATTCGAGAAAGTACAAACCCAGTGATTTGGTTTTATTTGGTAGTTTACATTCAAGGAAAAGATGACGGTATTATGGTTACGACCACTGGAACATGTCCGTCGTCACATGTGAAACAGATATTCCAAAAAGTTTATTTTTCAATTAGTGCGAGGTAGATCAGGGAATTCAATTGATTACAAATAAAATATTGATATTCGTATAAGTTCAAATGATCATTTACGCTAAAAAAAATTCGGAAAAATCTTATTTTATGGTATTGACACAACAAACCTATATTTCGTCGTCGATAGTGGCGTCGCCGTCTACATCTCCATTTTTTTTTTATTTCTATTGAGTTTAACCTTTCATTATACATGTTACTAAACATGTATGCCATCATAATTTTGTACTTTTAGAATATCATACTGTATTTGTTTACCTCGACTATTGTACCTGTATTTATATTGTATGTTTCTCTGTAAACTTGTATTTAGTTTTTTAGAGAATAAAGTATCTATGTATCTATCTATAGATCGTTAGGTTTCTAGTTTTTTATATTTTTCATTTCGGGACCTTTTACAGCTTACTATAGGGTATGGGTTTTGCTCATTGTTGAAAACCATACAGTTTTGTTTTTTTGTTAAATAAAACCGAATTAAACTGTTTTGACATGATAAATTTGTAAACCTCCATGAAGTGTTTTAAAACTTGTATAGGAGTTATTCCTCAATTTCAAGAAAAAGCATCTACAGAAAAACATTTTTTTTTTAATTTTGTTTTTACCGATAAATGTATAGATAAATGTACAGACGATCAACATGACGCTTTTACACTTACAGTAGCAATATCAGGTGAGACACATGGTTCCGTGGAATATTTTACAAATTTATTACAAAAATACTGCTTCCGATTGAGAACTTAGGATAAAAATAACAGGACCAAGTGGTTTGGGGATATCCCAATTATGTCCGAAATACTGTAAACTTTTTAATACTTTTTTTCTTATCATTGTCCGCCGTTCCCCTTTTTCATACCAAATAACTCTGAACAACCACTCGAACTTTAATTTGAACTTTAACTCAATGGATAGCGATACCCATCCAAAGCACATTAAACAAACGATATATTGAAATCTGTTTAAAAAAGAACATATTTTTTTCCGAATTGGTCACGTGGTTTTACCTCATCAGGTAATGGGATAACCACATCAAAGAATGACAGGAACACATCAAATAATGGAACAAACACATCATGTAGTGTAAAATCGTCAAATTTTGAAACATCATTGCGTAATGTTAAAATCATATAAAGAATAGGCAAATCATCATTACGAAATAACAAAACCACATCATGTAATGAAACAACTACATAACGTTAAGTCACATTCACATCAAGTAATGTTAAAACCACATTGACTAATGACACAACCACATTAAATAATGGTGAAACCACATCGAGTAATGACAAAACCATATTGAGTAATGACAAAACTATATCAAGTCAATATGAAACCATATCATGTAATATCGAAATATCATTAAGTAATGACTGTTCCATATTGAGTTATATCAAAACATCATTACGTAATGTCAAAACCATATTAAGTAAAGACAAAATATCATCAAGTAATAATAAAACAACATAAAGTAATATCAGAGTTCCACATAAGACAGCTGTGGCATTCCATAGTAAGTCCACATGGTATAGGATTACGGGATGCTATGACCCTAAACATATACAAGATATAAGTTATTTTGCCTTATGGGTAGGTCTACATGGTAAAGGTTTAATGGATGCCATGACCCTAAACATATACATGATATAAGTTAGTACAACTTATGGGCAGGTCTACATGGTAAAGGTTTAATATAATGCCATGACCCTAAACATATACAAGATATAAGTTATTTAGCCTTATGGATAGGTCCACAACGTATATAGGATTACTGGATGCACTGACCCTAAATATATACACGATATAAGTTAGTACAACTTATGGGCAAGTCTAAAGGTAAAGGTTTAATGGAAGCCATGGCCCTAAACATATACAAGATTTAAGTTATTAAGCCTTATGGGTATGTCAACATGGTATAGGATTACTGGATGCCTGACCCTAAACATATACACGATATAAGTTAGTACAAATTATGGGCAGGCCCACAAGGTAAAGGTTTAATGGATGCCCTAACCATAAACATACACATGATATAAGTTAGTACAACTTATGGGTAGGTCAATGTTTGGTTGGACTGGATCATCTTGTCAAATATAAGATTGTATAGGGAATTTTTAATTCTAGTCATAATTGCACCTTGTTAAATTGTCACTTGGTCAAATCGGCTCCCTTATCTTGTCAATGCAGTTTCTAGTTAAATCAGCAAGTAATATAGTTATCTTGACTATGGTTTGATATAATGGTTTTCAATAAAATATACTGTAATTGTTCACATCTTATTCCATTTATCAGGAAAATATTCATTATTGAAAAACATATTTTAATTAATTTTTATGCCCCCTGCAGAAGCGGAAAGGGAATTAAGTTTTACCCTTGTTCGTCTGTATGTAAGAACGTACATACATCCCAAAAGTTGGTTTCCGTTCTCTTAACTTTAGTTTGCCTCAACCAAATGTTATGAAACTTATACACAATGCTTATTACCATATAACACAGATCAAGTTTGAATTTTAGTGGCTTCACTTTAACCATTCTAAGGTTGTGCCCTTTAAAAACGGAAAATTTCTGTTCTTGGTTTGTGTTCCTTTATAAAAAAGTATCAATATCGGTTTTTTCTATTTGCAGTGAAACTTTTTTAAGAGACCACTTAAGGGGGACCAAAAAGAGGTTTCATAAGACAGGTGGTCTTACAGGTTCAATCTATAGGAAATGCACTACAGAGGGCCCTCAGATGTCTTTTTGTTTACCAAATGATCATTGTCAACTTCAAATCTTTCTGCTTTTTAGGTGAAAAATGGTTTCTAAATTGTAGAATAATTGCTATACTGTAATCTCATTTAAAATACAAAAACAAGACAACATTGTTCATGATTTGGACACAGATAGGCAAACAATTGTTTAATTTTATCTCAAAATCTTTGCTTGACTTTTTGGCCAAAATCTTTTAAAACAAGATGATTTCGTGTTTCTCATTTTGTTTACACTCAACTTTGAAACAAGTTTTAATTTGAATTTTAGAAAAATTAGAAATGGATTTGTAATTTTCAAGTTACATCCTTTAGAGGTTATTGAAGTTGAAAGGGCAATTTGTATGATACAAATTTCTTAAGAAATTGTTTAGTATTTTTCCATGTATATGTGAAATATCTTAATATAAGATCGCCATACCTGTTTAAAAAAATCAATCTGTTCTGTATATTAAATCACCTTATTTGAATATAACTTCCATTGTGTGCAGGCAATTAAAATGTTTCACATAAAAATCAGCCCACTAGGAAGTTAATAAGAACATGTTGAATCCTGATCAAGGTAATCAATAGATATTTTTAAAATACCATACCTGACCAAGTTTATATGACATAGGTCAATAATCATGTTACCAGACATTTTATAATGCAGGGATTTAAATTTTTTACTTCAGAAAATCTATGTCAATTTTGCTGTATAATATTTATAAACATTTAATGTGGTACAATTGTCACAGTTTGATGTCACATGTATCCTCTTATTCTAGGGTAATTGATCTTCAAGTTTATAATAGGACTACTTCAAATCATTGCTATTTTGTTAACAATTGCAGCTACATGAAATTCATCAATATAAAATCATTAATGCAGAAATGCAGCTCATTTAAGTTGGTATGGTTCATGTTATTCATCCTCACCAACTTACTTGTCTTGTGTTTAGATTTTTGCCTTCAATGCATATGGTGGTGATGACGGGTTTTATCCCATGTTAGGTCAAACCAAAAATAAAAAATTGGTATTTACACAAGGCAGATACAACATTTAACAGAGAGAGCAAAGACTCGAGATTCAGCTTAAAGTCCAAATAATTATGATGTGGTGAAAGGCCATTTCAATTTTTTTGATGTGACGACTGCCGACAACATCACAGCAAATTTGAAAAGGCTTTCATAATTATTTAGACTAGGGTCAGCTCTGAGTCAAAACAATGTGTCCTGTCTTGGTAGGATGATATGTCTTATGTAAAAACTGATACCTTGTGAACAAGCATATTAACAATCTGATTATCTGTCTCTGTGTGTTGGTCTTGTTAAATGCAGGGGTTATATTTATATCAATAACATTTTCTAGTATTGATATACATATATGTTTTATTTGCCACTAGACATTAAAAACCAATTTATTATCATCACTCTCAGAATATTTCTATTGTAGTTATGGCCATTATTTGGTGGCACAATGACAAAGCCAGAAAAAGGGAAATTATTTTATGTTCCTCAGGTAAGTCAATTTATTTTTTTGTTCTCGTACTAGGTAAACTTTGGCAACTTTGTTTATGTTTTACCATTCACTTGGTGTCAGTTGTCCATCTTTAACCTCCATCGTCTATCCACAGCCTGTTGTGTCATCAGTTAACTCTACTAAAGAATTTCCTATAATCTCGCCTGCCAATCAACATGTCCATTTTATAAAAAAATTGTCAGAAAATCATATTTTGTCGAGCCTTCGACTTTAGTCGAAAAAGCGAGACATAGCGATCCTACATTCCGTCGGCGTTGTCGTCTGCGGCGTCCACAAATATTCACTCTGTGGTTAAAGTTTTTGAAATTTTAATAACTTTCTTAAACTATCCTGGATTTCTACCAAACTTGGACAGAAGCTTGTTTATGATCATAAGATAGTATCCAGAAGTAAATTTTGTAAAAAAATAAATCCATTTTTTCCTTATTTTACTTTTCAATGGACTTAGATTTTCTGCCAGGAAACAACACATTCACTCTGTGGTTAAAGTTTTTAAAATTTTAATAACTTTCTTATACTATTTTGGATTTGTACCAAACTTGGACAGAAGCTTGTTTATGATCAAAAGCTAGTATCTAGAAGGAAATTTTGTAAAAAAATAAATCCATTTTTTCCATATTTTACTTTTAAATGGACTTAGATTTTCTGCCAGGAAACAACACATTCACTCTGTGGTTAAAGTTTTTAAAATTTTAATAACTTTCTTATGCTATTTTGGATTTCTACCAAACTTGGACAGAAGCTTGTTTATGATCATAAGATAGTATCCAGAAGTAAATTTTGTAAAAAAATAAATCCATTTTTTCCTTATTTTACTTTTAAATGGACTTAGATTTTCTGCCAGGAAACAACACATTCACTCTGTGGTTAAAGTTTTTAAAATTTTAATAACTTTCTTATACTATTTTGGATTTGTACCAAACTTGGACAGAAGCTTGTTTATGATCAAAAGCTAGTATCTAGAAGGAAATTTTGTAAAAAAATAAATCCATTTTTTTCAATATTTTACTTTTAAATGGACTTAGATTTTCTGCCAGGAAACAACACATTCACTCTGTGGTTAAAGTTTTTAAAATTTTAATAACTTTCTTATGCTATTTTGGATTTGTACCAAACTTGGACAGAAGCTTGTTTATGATCAAATGCTAGTATCTAGAAGGAAATTTTGTTTTCTTCCAGTTAACATTACATTCAGTCTGCAGTTAAAGTTTTTAAACATTTATTAGATTCATAAACTATCCTGGATTTTTACCAAACTTGGACAGAAGCTTCTTACAATCAAAAGATAGTATCAAGAGGAATATTTTTACTGATTTACTTCCTCATTTTTGTTGAGCCTGCGATTAACAGAAAAAGTAGGCGAGACACTGGGTTCCGCGAAACCCTTACGAATTTTATGAGTTATTGCTCCTAAATGTATTAGCACATCTTATTTCCAGTGATATTATATGGTCCTGCCTAGATAGTCATGGTTAATTGATTTTAAAACTTTTGCTTAGTTGTTTCATGTAAGTTTGTGATTTAGGTCAGTGAAAGGGGAACTACTAACTGTCAGTCCATGATATACAGTTGTAATAGTATTTGAACATCTCATTTGCATGGATACTGTATATCCTTGCTCGCTCAATCATTGTGACTGAAAACTCAGAAACTAATGTAATGCTTTAATTAGAAATAAAGAAAAACGCAACAGTATCAATGATAGAAGAGGGGCAAAAGATACCAAAGGGACAGTCAAACTCATAGATCGAAAATAAACTGACAACGCCATGGCTAAAAAAGAAAAAGATAAACAGACAAATAATAGTACACAAGACACAACACAGAAAACTAAAGACTAAGCAACACGAACCCCACCAAAAACTGGGGGTGATCTCAGGTGCTACGGAAGGGTAAGCAGATCCTGCTCCACATGATAGATTAAGTTAAGAAAACCCGTCTCCATAAGTTGTTTTTGTATTGGCACATCTCATTTCCATGGATATTGTATGGGTCCAACACCTGTCATGGTTCATTGACTTAAAAACTCTTGCATAGCAGACATGTTAAATATATGATTGGTATGTATGACTTTCATTGTAAATTTATTAATAGCATCATGTTGAAGTTGAATTTCAGTTGGTTTTTGTCGAGCCTTCGACTTTTGTCTAAAAAGCGAGACATAGCGATCCTACATTCCGTCGGCGGCGTCCACAAATATTCACTCTGTGGTTAAAGTTTTTGAAATTTTAATAACTTTCTTAAACTATCCTGGATTTCTACCAAATTTGGACAAAAGCTTGTTTATGATCATAAGATAGTATCCAGAAGTAAATTTTGTAAAAAAAAAATTCCTGTTTTTCCGTATTTTACTTATAAATGGACTTAGTTTTTCTGCCAGGAAACATTACATTCACTCTGTGGTTAAAGTTTTTAAAATTTTAATAACTTTCTCAAACTATCCTGGATTTGTACCAAACTTGGACAGAAGCTTGTTTATGATCATAAGATAGTATCCAGAAGTAAATTTAAAAAAAAAAAATCCTGTTTTCCGTATTTTACTTATAAGTGGACTTAGTTTCTCTGCCAGGAAACATTACATTCACTCTGTGGTTAAAGTTTTTAAAATTTTAATAACTTTCTTAAACTCTCCTGGATTTGTACCAAACATGGACTGAAGTTTGTTTATGATCAAAAGCTGGTATCTAGAAGGAAATTTTTATTAAAATTTTGTACTTGTTTATCCATATTTTACTTGTAAATGGACTTAGTTTTTCTTCGAGTTAACATTACATACAGTCTGCAGTTAAATTATTTAAAACATTTTTTAGATTCATAAACTATCCTGGATTTTAACCAAACTTGGACAGAAGTTTTTTACAATAAAAAAATTGTATGGAGAGGAATATTTTTATTAAATGTTTTCCTCATCTCATTTTTGTTGAGCCTGCGATTAACAGCAAAAGTAGGCGAGACACTGGGTTCCGCGGAACCCTTACAAATTTTTTTCTTATATATATATCTTACCTGAACAGTTTGTTTTTTCTACAGAGACCGTATATGACTGTGGGTACATTGAGAGATCAAGTAATATATCCTGATAGCAGAGACAACCAATTAAAGAAAGGAATAAGAGATGTTCAGTTAGAAGATATTCTTAAAAAGGTATTCTTTAATTGAAAAAAAAATGCTCTCTCTGAATAATGCTGGTTATTTAGATGGGGGACATTCTTTTACATTGGTTACAATGAAATACGACAATTCCCACTTAAATAGAATCGATAATTTTGCATTCAAAAAAGGGGTTGTCAAGATTTGTTGATGTTGTTATTCAACATGTGACCAAACAACACTGATAACTTAAAACCTGTGAACAATTGTGAATTAATGTGTTGTTCTGTTTGCCTTAAACATTTGTGAAATTAATGTGTTGTTCAGTAAGGCCTTAAACTTTTGTGAATTATTGTGTTGTTTGGTAAGGCCTTAAACTTTTGTGAATTAATGTGTTGTTCGGTCAGGCCTTAAACATTTGTGAATTAATCTGTTGTTTGGTCAGGCCTTAAATATTTCTTATAGTTGAATTCTCTATAAATATTCCTTTGAATAAGAAATATAGGATACTACAGGTTTAGTTTTATGACAGCTTAATATCTTGACTTACATCTTTATAAATAGCAAAAAAATGACATTAAGATTTTGTTGAGAACTTAACTTTATGACAAAAGAGATGATTTCAATTTAAAAAAAAGTAAACAGCAATGAATGGGTATTGACTGTATATCTCTTACTTTGATACAATATTGATTTCCGTGATAGAGAATTGCTTCTTAAATTATTAATGGAAGTCATGCCTTGGAAAGTGTTATAGATGGAATTGTGGATTTGTGTACAAAGTCTTATATTTCTTTCAGAATATAAAGATTGATGAATGATTAATTATTATTTATATGTAGAAGGTTTTTGTAATTAATTTTAAATTTTTACATTATAGGTACAGCTGGAGTACATCCTGGAAAGAGAAGGGGGCTGGGATTCTGTTCAAGTAAGTTTTGACTTGAAAGAGAAGGGGGCTGGGATTCTGTTCAAGTAAGTTTTGACAGATTTATTGATAAGTGTTGTTCTTTTGCTTTTCATTGTTTTAAGTGCATGAGGGGATTTTCTATCATGAATTTCAAATAAGTTTTGACTGGAAAGAGAAGGGGGCTGGGATTCTGTTCAAGTAAGTTTTGACTTGAAAGAGAAGGGGGCTGGGATTCTGTTCAAGTAAGTTTTGACTTGAAAGAGAAGGGGGCTGGGATTCTGTTCAAGTAAGTTTTGACTGGAAAGAGAAGGGGGCTGGGATTCTGTTCAAGTAAGTTTTGACTGGAAAGAGAAGGGGGCTGGGATTCTGTTCAAGTAAGTTTTGACTGGAAAGAGAAGGGGCTGGGATTCTGTTCAAGTAAGTTTTGACTGGAAAGAGAAGGAGACTGGGATTCTGTTCAAGTAAGTTTTGACTGGAAAGAGAAGGGGGCTGGGATTCTGTTCAAGTAAGTTTTGACTGGAAAGAGAAGGGGGCTGGGATTCTGTTCAAGTAAGTTTTGACTGGAAAGAGAAGGAGACTGGGATTCTGTTCAAGTAAGTTTTGACTGGAAAGAGAAGGGGGCTGGGATTCTGTTCAAGTAAGTTTTGACTGGAAAGAGAAGGAGACTGGGATTCTGTTCAAGTAAGTTTTGACTGGAAAGAGAAGGGGGCTGGGATTCTGTTCAAGTAAGTTTTGACTGGAAAGAGAAGGGGGCTGGGATTCTGTTCAAGTAAGTTTTGACTGGAAAGAGAAGGGGGCTGGGATTCTGTTCAAGTAAGTTTTGACTGGAAAGAGAAGGAGACTGGGATTCTGTTCAAGTAAGTTTTGACTGGAAAGAGAAGGGGGCTGGGATTCTGTTCAAGTAAGTTTTGACTGGAAAGAGAAGGGGGCTGGGATTCTGTTCAAGTAAGTTTTGACTGGAAAGAGAAGGAGACTGGGATTCTGTTCAAGTAAGTTTTGACTGGAAAGAGAAGGGGGCTGGGATTCTGTTCAAGTAAGTTTTGACTGGAAAGAGAAGGGGGCTGGGATTCTGTTCAAGTAAGTTTTAACTGGAAAGAGAAGGGGGCTGGGATTCTGTTCAAGTAAGTTTTGACTGGAAAGAGAAGGGGGCTGGGATTCTGTTCAAGTAAGTTTTGACTGGAAAGAGAAGGGGGCTGGGATTCTGTTCAAGTAAGTTTTAACTGGAAAGAGAAGGGGGCTGGGATTCTGTTCAAGTAAGTTTTGACAGATTTATTGATAAGTGTTGTTCTTTTGCTTTTCATTGTTTTAAGTGCATGAGGGGATTTTCTATCATGAATTTCTTATTAAAAAAATGCACAATGTTGTGAAATGTTTTGCTTTTCAAATAAAACTTTCTTGTGCAACTAGTAGTCTGTAACACAGCTTTCTTATCTATATTGTTTAGAATTTTTTTTAACTAGTTTGAATACTCATTCCACATTTAAAGTTTTTAATGAGTTTGAGTACTTGTTCCACATGTATGAAGTTTTTAATAAGTTTGAGTACTTGTTCCACATTTAAAGTTTTTTATGAGTTTGAGTACTCATTCCACGTTTAAAGTTTTTTAATGAGTTTACGAACTTATTCCACATATATAAGGTTTTTAATGAGTTGATGTATTTACAGGATTGGATGGATGTGTTGAGTGGTGGAGAGAAACAAAGAGTTGCAGTAAGTACAGACGTTGGGGATTTATTATTCATTGTGTTTATTTTTATATAATGATAATTAACAAATAAGTATTAATGAAATTTTTGATTTCGCATCATAGACAATAGTAGAGGAATGTTAAATGGAGAATGACCCAGAACTTTGCTAATAAAAATATTCATTCATCCCACCAGCATATTATTTTACCTTTATCTGACATTCCAGAACAAACAGTTATACAGACTTTCCTTCTAAAAGCCTTCACATGTTTAGCTGATTTTTAGTATGTGAGTCTACTATGATGAGTTACAGATCAAGTTTACGTTTGTTTGGTTCTGCTCAACCTAACAATGGCTTTGAGCTTGTTCTGCAATCAGGGCCATTCATGTCATTCCGACACATCTAGTTTTATTATAAAGTTATTGAACATATTTAGAAGGCTTACATGAGTTGGAGTTTTGATAATTTGTGTAAATTATCACTTTTAATTATAGAATATAAATCATAGTGTATTGTATTTGTTCACAATGCTGAAAAAGTATCTTTGCTTGTTGTAGATGGCCAGATTACTTTACCATAAGCCACAGTTTGCCATCCTAGATGAATGTACTAGTGCAGTCAGTGTGGATGTAGAAGGTTTTATTTATCAGTATTGCAGAGAGGTTAGTAATTTATTTTAGAGATAGAGGTCTTCAATTCTACCTGATGCAATGCATTTACATTGACATTTGTTAGATTTCAGTTTGAACTAGCAATATGTATTATAAAGTCAGTTAAATTAATAATTTTCAGTACACCAGCATAGTCAAAGATCCCAGAAGGATTTAAACAGACAATAACACAATCAATGATCTAAGAGAGAGATATTAAAGAGACATTAAAACCAATAAGTAGAAGAATAATTAAACTGTCAACATCATTGATTAAAGATAGCATTTGAAAAAAGAATGACAGATTACTTTAATATTCTTTTGTAGTTTTCTCATTAAATTCCTACAAATGATTTTTTTTTCATTTCTAACAAAATTCCTTTAAATTGAATAAGCTATTTTTATAAGACTCCATAAACAGATACATTTTAACCATCAACCATGAGGAAGACTGTTTCATTTACATTAATAATGCACTTCATTGTACAAAGGGAGATAAGAAGTAGTTACCAATTAACATGAAGTGAGGACAAATTGGACTTGTGGTTTTTATACGACCGCAAAAAAATTTTGTGCTCGTATATTATATTGGTATGACGTTGGCGTCGTCGTCGTCATCGTCCGAAGACACATTAGTTTTCGCACTCTAACTTTAGTTTAAGTGAATGGATCTTTTTGAAATTTGACCATAAGGTTAAATACCACAAAAGGAAGGTTGGGATTGATTTTGGGGGTTATGGTACCAACAGTTAAGGAATTAGGGGCCAAAAAGGGGCCAAAAATAAGCATTTTCTAGTTTCCAGACAATAACTGTGGAACGGTGTATGGATCTCTCTGAAATTATACTACAAGTTTCCATACCACAAAGGGATGGTTAGGATTTGCTTTGGGGGGTTATGGCTCAAACCGTTTAGGAATTAGGGACAAAAAAGGGGGAAAAACAAGGTTGTCCTGGTTAATGGACAAATACTTTAGTACAAAACATAATTTAAAGCAGTGTAAGGGAGATAAATCAAATACATCATTGAAATTATCTCCCTTACACTGCTTTTAAATTATGTATAAAGTAATGGTAAATGAACAATAAAGATAATTTAAAACAGTGTAAGGGAGGTAATCCAAATACAACGTTTTGGTTACTTCCCTTACACTGCTTTTAAATTATGTTTAAAGAAATGCATATTTATAAAGGAAGACCAGTAAAAATATCTGCAAATGTTGCATCTTTTTTTTTTTCAAAAAAATCATTATGAAAGATTTGACACTATATTTTTAATTCTATTATAAAATAGATTAAGTTAGCACTATGGTAAATTTAAATGGGTAATCATGGTTGCCAACTCCATTGGAAATTTGAATTGAGATTATGACCATATCTTGAGGGAAAGAATTTTTTTGGGGAAAAAAGGGGGGGGGGGGGATAAAAAGAAATTGTGGGGTGTCAATTTTTTCTCATTTCAGATTTCAGAAATTAAAAAGAATTATTCTTCAAATATTATTTTTTTTTCAAATTTCAAATATTGAAAAATTTCAAGAAGTAATCTTTAATTGCACAGTATGGCGCATTAGATTTGTAAAATCTTTGATCACATTTATTTATTTGTTATGCCAAATCTAACAGTGTATTTAGATTTTTAATTTTGGGTCCAGTTTTCAAAATAGTCTACATTAAGGTCCAAAGGGTCCAAAATTAAACTTTGTTTGATTTTAGCAAAAATTGAATATATGAGGTTCTTTGATATGCTGAATCTAAACATGTATTTAGATTTTTGATTTTTGGCCCAGTTTTCAAGTTGGTCCAAATTGGGGTCCAAAATTAAACTTTGTTTGATTTCAACAAAAATTAGATATATGGGGTTCTTTGATATGCTGAATCTAACCATGTATTTAGATTTTTTATTTGTGGACCCCGTTATCAAATTGGTTCATATTGAGGTCAAAAGGGTCCAAAATTAAACTTTGTTTGATTTCATCTAAAATTGAATTATTGGGGCTCTTTGATATTCCAAATCTAACCGTGTATTTAGATTTTTAATTTTGGGTCCTGTTTTTTAAATTGGTCTACATTAAGGTCCAAAGGGTCCAAAATTAAACTTAGTTTGATTTTGACAAAAATTGAATTCTTGGGGTTTTTTGATATGCTGAATCTAAACATGTGTTTAGATTTTTGATTATGGGCCCAGTTTTCAAGTTGGTCCAAGATAGGGTCCAGTATTTAAACTTTGTCTGATTTCAACAAAAATTGAATATATGGGGTTCTTTGATATGCTGAATATAAACATGTATTTAGATTTTTGATTATGGGCCCAGTTTTCAAGTTGGTCCAAATTGGGGTCCAAAATTAAACTTTGTTTGATTTCAACAAAAATTGAATATATGAGGTTCTTTGATATGCTGAATCTAACCATGTATTTAGATTTTTTATTTGTAGGCCCCGCTATCAAATTGGTTCATATTGAGGTCAAAAGGGTCCAAAATTAAACTTTGTTTGATTTCATCTAAAATTGAATTATTGGGGCTCTTTGATATTCCAAATCTAACCGTGTATTTAGATTTTTAATTTTGGGTCCTGTTTTTTAAATTGGTCTACATTAAGGTCCAAAGGGTCCAAAATTAAACTTAGTTTGATTTTAACAAAAATTGAATTCTTGGGGTTTTTTGATATGCTAAATCTAAACATGTGTTTAGATTTTTGATTATGGGCCCAGTTTTCAAGTTGGTCCAAGATAGGGTCCAGTATTTAAACTTTGTCTGATTTCAACAAAAATTGAATATATGGGGTTCTTTGATATGCTGAATCTAAACATGTATTTAGATTTTTGATTATGGGCCCAGTTTTCAAGTTGGTCCAAATTGGGGTCCAAAATTAAACTTTGTTTGATTTCAACAAAAATTGAATATATGAGGTTCTTTGATATGCTGAATCTAACCATGTATTTAGATTTTTTATTTGTAGGCCCCGCTATCAAATTGGTTCATATTGAGGTCAAAAGGGTCCAAAATTAAACTTTGTTTGATTTCATCAAAAATTGAATTATTGGGGTTCTTTGATATGCCAAATCTAACCGTATTTTTATACGACCGCAAAAAAATTTTGTGGTCGTAAATTGGTATGACGTTGGCGTCGTCGTCGTCGTCCGAAGACACATTGGTTTTCGCACTCTAACTTTAGTTTAAGTGAATGGATCTTTTTGAAATTTGACCATAAGGTTAAATACCACAAAAGGAAGGTTGGGATTGATTTTGGGGGTTATGGTACCAACAGTTAAGGAATTAGGGGCCAAAAAGGGGCCAAAAATAAGCATTTTCTAGTTTCCAGACAATAACTGTGGAACGGTGTATGGATCTCTCTGAAATTATACTACAAGTTTCCATACCACAAAGGGATGGTTAGGATTTGCTTTGGGGGGTTATGGCTCAAACCGTTTAGGAATTAGGGGCAAAAAAGGGGGAAAAACAAGGTTGTCCTGGTTAATGGACAAATACTTTAGTACAAAACATAATTTAAAGCAGTGTAAGGGAGATAAATCAAATACATCATTGAAATTATCTCCCTTACACTGCTTTTAAATTATGTATAAAGTAATGGTTAATGAACAATAAAGATAATTTAAAACAGTGTAAGGGAGGTAATCCAAATACAATGTTTTGGTTACTTCCCTTACACTGCTTTTAAATTATGTTTAAAGAGATACATATTTATAAAGGAAGACCAGTAAAAATATCTGCAAATGTTGCATCTTTTTTTTTTTACAAAAAAATCCATATGAAAGATTTGACACTATATTTTTAATTCTATTATAAAATAGATTAAGTTAGCACTATGGTAAATTTAAATGGGTAATTATGGTTGCCAACTCCATTGGAAATTTGAATTGAGATTATGACCATATCTTGAGGGAAAGAATTTTTTTGGGGAAAAAAAGGGGGGGGGGGGGGGGGGGGTAAAAAGAAATTGTGGGGGGTCAATTTTTTCTCATTTCAGATTTCAGAAATTAAAAAGAATTATTCTTCAAATATTATTTTTTTTTCAAATTTGAAATATTGAAAAATTTCAAGAAGTAATCTTTAATTGCACAGTATGGCGCATTAGATTTGTAAAATCTTTGATCACATTTATTTATTTGTTATGCCAAATCTAACAGTGTATTTAGATTTTTAATTTTGGGTCCAGTTTTCAAATTGGTCTACATTAAGGTCCAAAGGGTCCAAAATTAAACTTTGTTTGATTTTAGCAAAAATTGAATATATGAGGTTCTTTGATATGCTGAATCTAAACATGTATTTAGATTTTTGATTTTTGGCCCAGTTTTCAAGTTGGTCCAAATTGGGGTCCAAAATTAAACTTTGTTTGATTTCAACAAAAATTGAATATATGGGGTTCTTTGATATGCTGAATCTAACCATGTATTTAGATTTTTTATTTGTGGACCCCGTTATCAAATTGGTTCATATTGAGGTCAAAAGGGTCCAAAATTAAACTTTGTTTGATTTCATCTAAAATTGAATTATTGGGGTTCTTTGATATTCCAAATCTAACCGTGTATTTAGATTTTTAATTTTGGGTCCTGTTTTTTAAATTGGTCTACATTAAGGTCCAAAGGGTCCAAAATTAAACTTAGTTTGATTTTAACAAAAATTGAATTCTTGGGGTTCTTTGATATGCTGAATCTAAACATGTGTTTAGATTTTTGATTATGGGCCCAGTTTTCAAGTTGGTCCAAGATAGGGTCCAGTATTTAAACTTTGTTTGAGATCAACAAAAATTGAATATATGGGGTTCTTTGATATGCTGAATCTAAACATGTATTTAGATTTTTGATTATGGGCCCAGTTTTCAAGTTGGTCCAAATTGGGGTCCAAAATTAAACTTTGTTTGATTTCAACAAAAATTGAATATATGAGGTTCTTTGATATGCTGAATCTAACCATGTATTTAGATTTTTTATTTGTGGGCCCCGCTATCAAATTGGTTCATATTGAGGTCAAAAGGGTCTAAAATTAAACTTTGTTTGATTTCATCAAAAATTGAATTATTGGGGTTCTTTGATATGCCAAATCTAACCGTGTTTTTAGATTTTTAATTTGGGTCCCATTTTTTAAAATTGGTCTTCATTGAGGTCCAAAGGGTCCAAAATTAAACTTAATTTGATTTTAACAAAAATTGAATTCTTGGGGTTCTTTGATATGCTAAATCTAAACATGTCTTTAGATTTTTGATTATGGGCCCAGTTTTCAAGTTGGTCCAAGATAGGGTCCAGTATTTAAACTTTGTTTGAGATCAACAAAAATTGAATATATGGGGTTCTTTGATATGCTGAATCTAAACATGTATTTAGATTTTTGATTATGGGCCCAGTTTTCAAGTTGGTCCAAATTGGGGTCCAAAATTAAACTTTGTTTGATTTCAACAAAAATTGAATATATGAGGTTCTTTGATATGCTGAATCTAACCATGTATTTAGATTTTTTATTTGTGGGCCCCGCTATCAAATTGGTTCATATTGAGGTCAAAAGGGTCTAAAATTAAACTTTGTTTGATTTCATCAAAAATTGAATTATTGGGGTTCTTTGATATGCCAAATCTAACCGTGTTTTTAGATTTTTAATTTGGGTCCCATTTTTAAAAATTGGTCTTCATTGAGGTCCAAAGGGTCCAAAATTAAACTTAGTTTGATTTTAACAAAAATTGAATTCTTAGGGTTCTTTGATATGCTAAATCTAAACATGTGTTTAGATTTTTGATTATGGGCCCAGTTTTCAAGTTGGTCCAAGTTGTGGTCCAAAATTAAACTTTTTTTGATTTCAACAAATATTGAATATATAGGGTTCTTTGATATGCTGAATCTAACCATGAACTTAGATTTTTTATTTGTGGGCCCCGCTATCAAATTGGTTCATATTGAGGTCAAAAGGGTCCAAAATTAAACTTTGTTTGATTTCATCAAAAATTGAATTATTGGGGTTCTTTGATATTCCAAATCTAACCATGTATTTAGATTTTTAATTTTAAGTCCCGTTTTTTAAATTGGTCTACATTAAGATCCAAAGGGTCCAAAATTAAACTTAGTTTGATTTTAGCAAAAATTGAATTATTGGGGTTCTTTGATATGCTGAATCTGAACATGTGTTTAGATTTTTGATTATGGGCCCAGTTTTCAAGTTTGTCCAAGTTGGGGTCCAAAATTAAACTTTGTTTGATTTCAACAAAAATTGAAAATATGGGGTTCTTTGATATGCTGAATCTAACCATGTATTTTGATTTTGGACATTGGACCATAATAGGTAAATTAAAAAAATTCAAGTTCTTAGACCACATTCTTTCTGTGTCAGAATCCTATGCTGTGTCAAATATTTGATAACAATCCAAATTCAGAGCTGTATCAAGCTTGAATGTTGTGTCCATACTTGCCCCAACTGTTCAGGGTTCGACCTCTGCGGTCGTATCAAGCTGCGCCCCAGCGAAGCATTTTATTCCAAAATTCCAAAATTGACATACAAGCTTATCATGCTGATAGAAAATTTGTAATTAGCTAACCATTTAAATTTATTACCCACTTAATCTAAAAATAGTTATTCAATGAATAATGATGAATTCATGGTACTCTGATGTTACTTGGTATTGAAATTTAACATGTTAACATGTGTGATACCTGTTATCATAATTATATGTGTATTATATTTATAGGTTGGAATAACATTGTTTACAGTATCACACAGAAAATCATTATGGAGACATCATGAGGTTTGTTTATTACTCTTTAACTGTGACATTGTTGATAATTGTTTTACTGTAACCATCACTTCTTTAATATTATTCTAATTCCTATTTAACCGTGATAAATAACCCAAACCAATATTACTTCATAGTGTTAAAAAGTAATATGGGATGCAAATCAGTTAATCAAATGAACTCAAAATTCTGCTGATCTTTGTGTGAGTTTGATAACTAGATGAAATAGAATGGAAATTTACCTATTTTCATGGAATATTTGTGGTAGATAAAAATGTCTGATATTTGTGACATCATGAAAAGAATACTCATATGCAAATTTTCAGCAAAAAGACATATTTGTTTTCTAGTCATTGATTTAACTATGATTCAATGTGATATTGGTCAATAAAATTTAATTTGAAAATTTCTTCCTGAAGTTCAATACACATAAACTGGAATTCCTTTAAACTATAATGAACCTCATGTACAGATATTCAGTTTTGTGGATAAAAAAAGTGAAATCACAAAAATACTGAACGCCTAGGAAAATTCAAAACAGAATAAACCATTTGGTTTAACATTTTACCAGAGACATTTAAGATTTCTGTGTCCTAATTGCTTTTGTTTTTTTCATTTCAGTTTTACCTACAGATGGATGGGAGAGGAGCGTATGAGTTCAAACCAATTACATCTGATACCACCGAATTCGGATCTTGATACCTGCTTTAATGATAGGCTTTTAAAATGAAAACATTGTATTTTATTCATATTTATATACTTTAAGTTGTACAAATTGTACTGTGATAGATATAATGTACATTAGTCCATTACTTGTTCACGTTGTACTGTGATGTTTATAGTGTACACAAAGGTGGAGGAAGGTTATCAACATACACGTTTGCATTGGGTACAGTCGTCTGGTTAAGGTTTCATAGGAAAATCACAACCCAATTATATATATATACAAGCTATCATAAAATTATAAATGGAAATGGGGAATGTGTCAATATTTATGTCAATATATCATGACATCTTATTTACTTATTTAGACATTAACACCTTTGGATCACTTAAACTATTAGACAAGAAGATCAGAACACAGTTTGGCAGATATCTTAACTGAAGATGACCCATTGACGTATAGATATCTACCAATTGATATATTATCTATGTGAAATAGTACCCCATTGATATATTTAAGATTCCAAAATGGTTACCCATACCACCGGCATATCTGTGTTTACCTTTATATTGGAAGAGATTGTCTGTGAGTGTACACAATGTAAGATTACTTGTATAAATTGTACTGTGATGTTTAGTGTGCTCATTGTCCAATTACTTGTACAAGTTGTACTGTGATGTATATAGTGTACACATTGTGCCATTACTTGTACAAATTGTGATGTTATGTATATTCTGTACTCATTATTTCATTACATGTACAAATTGTACTTGATGTATATAGTGTACACATTGTGCCATTACGTGTACAAGTTGTGATGTGATGTATATAGTGTACACACAGTTCTAATACTTGTACAAACTCAGATATGATGTATATAGTGTACACATCGTTGCATAATTGTACAATAATTATAATAATATAAGTAGGTTTTGCTATCAAGATTGAAATTTTGACATGATTAAAGAGCAAATTGTAGATAATTATAATGATATAGAATAGAAAATAATTATTTATAGATAAAACTTGTGATGTTGAAGTTTCCTGATTGATTCTGGTGTTAGTAGTAGATAATTAGCCCTGAGCTGTCTAATGATAGAAAAAAAATGTCATAAGGATTTTTCAATTTCACATCTGTATCAACCCAAGACACCAATATAATCACAAGAGCTCTGCTTGAGGGATTATATTGAATGAGGGTTGATACGGTGTGAGATATTGAAAAAGCCATGTCATATACACTTTATTATACTGTGGATTCATTTTTATTTGTTGGATCCTAATTTTTGTTGATTTCATTGGAACAGATGAACCAAGAATATAAATTTTCAACTTATTATATATTTATATAGCCTCGTATGCAGACTTTGGCAAAACCACAAAATTAAATATCCACAAAAATGTAAGGTTTCCTCAATCCTCGAAAATTGGTACCCACGAACATAAATGAATCCACAATATACCTAACCTGGGAACAGTATATCTAAATATATATGTTCCTGACTTTACGAAGATGTTTTTTATGTGACATGACATCATACAGCGGATTAGGGGTTTGATAAAGCCTTTGCAACAGTGACTGTATGGCATCGATGATGTGACGTCATACAGATCAAAGATGTGATAAAGCAATCTCCTCACCTGATATATGTGTGAACTTCTCATTTTTACAATCTGCTCACCTGGAATATTTGTAAGTTCTCGTATTTTCAAATTTGAGATCATTTTGTATCATTATTTTATAATTTGTATTGGACACATTGTAATATACAGAGATTGTTTAAATAGAAGTAATCGTTGTAGATAATTGAAGTAAAACACAATTTCGGACTACATTTGATATTTTGATAGTCACAAACTTTTCCATTTTGGTATGTTCCTCATCTGAAAATAATGTATAAAGTTAAATAAGCTTATGATTTTTAATAAAAGTTTTATATCTGTTTTAATACATCTTCACACCTAATTTATAGTAAAAGTGTATATTTAGGGTCTTATTTAATTTGCATTGGTCCTAATAATTCACCAAAATAAAGAATCGTATAAAACCATTTCAATTCACATTTTTGATTCAGCCATGCTGGATCTATCGATCACTCTGCTTTTGGAGATGGTGCAGAGTACTAAGTTGAAGACATATCATGAAACTAATTATGTGTTTTTATGACTTGCAGAAACTTCATACACCATTTTAATTATCAGCTGCCAACTTTTGACATGTTATTTGCCCTTAAATTAAGAAAAGATTGGTCGAACAGCTACTTTATTTTAGATATATACTAGCATATAGTTCCTCTCTTTGTCAAAATTTATAATAATTTACTATTTATGAATTAATGTAATAAAGTAATATACATCAATTTAACCAATTGATAAGAATTTTGAAAGTATTTTATTAGTATCTTATGCTTGTGTAAGTTATTGAATGATTTTTTTGGGGGTCAAGATGTATATGTAAGTTGATTCCCACACTTTTTTGAAATGCTATTACTCCAATTCTTCCCTTATTGATACTATACCAGTATGATTATCAACTGTCATAATTTTCAAACAATTACACTAAAAGGTGTAAGTATTAATTGGAATCAACTCAATGCTTAATTCGCCACAGTTAGTATCTCATGACCTGTTGCATAATTAAATAGACACAATTTATTACACACCTATCTGATTACACAAATTCTTGACCTCAATATTAAATCTACAGATGTATTATTTATTTTGATCTACACTACATTAAAATATTGTGTTAATTTTGTGTGTAAGCTATATATATATATATAGCTAGCTGAATGATTAATTAGATGTGTTCTTTTTCAAAGAAAGACAATAAATGAAAAAGTATGCATTAAAAAAGCAAGCAAATTTTATTTCACTTGTAAAATCAGTGTCATAATCATCTTACATAAGTCAATAATCAAGTTCTAATTAATTAGTTACTATTATCAGAAATTTGGTTAAAACAATAAACAAAATTGCATCACTCTAGCCTGAGCATTTCCCGCAATAAAAGTTATTTGTTTGTTCTCCATTTATATCCCATTTATTACTATTTAACAGTAATTGTAATATCTCAGCATTTGGTATTTGTACATTTAAATTTGAATACAGGAAATGTATTTTTCTTAATAAAGAATGAACACCAATTTAGATAAAAAAATAGTTATTATTTTTTTCAATTTCTGTTGTTGAGAAAATGAATTTCCAAGTCAACTTTCTGGAAATTATTAAACCAATTATTATTAATGGCATATAAAAAAATATATTACTTGTTTGACGATTTCCCTTTCCATTCTGGTCAAAATCATTAAATTGCAAATATTTATAAAACAAATCTGACAGTGTCTAAATATCCATATAAATATTTGCAATAACATAGATATTTTACAGTAAGATTATGGAAACGAAAAGAGAAAAAAAATATTGAAAAAAGTATGGTCATTAAAGAATATCAGACTAGCTATGAATATGGCTGGATCACAACATCGACGATGCTTTGATTATTAAACTCATAAGAATGACTTTCAGAAAATGTAATTATTAAGGTAGCCTTATTTAGGTGTTGTCAAAAGAGAGATTATCCATATGTTTATGACTTATTTGGCCCTAATCTGTTATGAGTTAATAGCTATATATATATAGTTTGATCAGAAATATTTTATGTCTGGATAAACATTTAAAATTAGTAGTGTAGACGATAAAAAAAACTCCTAAAGATTTTTCTGAGGCAACCAGTGTGAGAACTGGGAAGCTTATTGATGTCCTTTTTGGTCATTCTCCAGCATTCTGACCCATATAGCAGCACTGCTTCTACACAGCTATCATAGTCAGTTTGGTGTTCTTACTGATGTTGTTAGACTTACAGATGTGACGTAGCTTTAAAACTGCTGTTCTTGCTTTTTATACGACCGCAAAAAAATTTTGTGGTCGTATATTGGTATGACGTTGGCGTCGTCGTCGTCGTCGTCGTCGTCGGCGGCGTCGTCCGGCGTCGTCGTCGTCGTCCGGCGTCGTCGTCCGAATACATATTGGTTTTCGCACTCTAACTTTAGTTTTAGTGATTGGATCTTTTTGAAATTTGACCATAAGGTTAAATACCACAAAAGGAAGGTTGGGATTGATTTTGGGGGTTATGGTACCAACAGTTAAGGAATTAGGGGCCAAAAAGGGGCCAAAAATGAGCATTTTCTAGTTTCCAGACAATAACTGTGGAACGGTGTATGGATCTCTCTGAAATTATACTACAAGTTTCCATACCACAAAGGGATGGTTAGGATTTGCTTTGGGGGGTTATGGCTCAAACCGTTTAGGAATTAGGGGCAAAAAAGGGGGGAAAACAAGGTTGTCCTGGTTAATGGACAAATACTTTAGTACAAAACATAATTTAAAGCAGTGTAAGGGAGATAAATCAAATACATCATTGAAATTATCTCCCTTACACTGCTTTTAAATTATGTATAAAGTAATGGTTAATGAACAATAAAGATAATCTAAAACAGTGTAAGGGAGGTAATCCAAATACAATGTTTTGGTTACTTCCCTTACACTGCTTTTAAATTATGTTTAAGGAAATGCATATTTATAAAGGAAGACCAGTAAAAATATCTGCAAATGTTTTCATCTTTTTTTTTTAACAAAAAAATCCATATGAAAGATTTGACACTATATTTTTATTAATTCTATTATAAAATAGATTAAGTTAGCACTATGGTAAATTTAAATGGGTAATTATGGTTGCCAACTCCATTGGAAATTTGAATTGAGATTATGACCATATCTTGAGGGAAAGATTTTTTTGGGGGGAAAAAGGGGGGGGGGGGGATAAAAAGAAATTGTGGGGGGCCAATTTTTTCTCATTTCAGATTTCAGAAATTAAAAAGAATTATTCTTCAAATATTATTTTTTTTTCAAATTTCAAATATTGAAAAATTTCAAGAAGTAATCTTTAATTGCACAGCATGGCGCATTAGATTTGTAAAATCTTTGATCACATTTATTTATTTGTTATGCCGAATCTAACAGTGTATTTAGATTTTTAATTTTGGGTCCAGTTTTCAAATTGGTCTACATTAATGTCCAAAGGGTCCAAAATTAAACTTTGTTTGATTTTAGCAAAAATTGAATATATGAGGTTCTTTGATATGCTGAATCTAAACATGTATTTAGATTTTTGATTTTTGGCCCAGTTTTCAAGTTGGTCCAAATTGGGGTCCAAAATTAAACTTTGTTTGATTTCAACAAAAATTGAATATATGGGGTTCTTTGATATGCTGAATCTAACCATGTATTTAGATTTTTTATTTGTGGACACCGTTATCTAATTGGTTCATATTGAGGTCAAAAGGGTCCAAAATTAAACTTTGTTTGATTTCATCTAAAATTGAATTATTGGGGTTCTTTGATATTCCAAATCTAACCGTGTATTTAGATTTTTAATTTTGGGTCCTGTTTTTTAATTGGTCTACATTGAGGTCCAAAGGGTCCAAAATTAAACTTAGTTTGATTTTGACAAAAATTGAATTCTTGGGGTTCTTTGATTTGCTGAATCTAAACATGTGTTTAGATTTTTGATTATGGGCCCAGTTTTCAAGTTGGTCTAAGATAGGGTCCAGTATTTAAACTTTGTTTGATTTCAACAAAAATTGAATATATGGGGTTCTTTGATATGCTGAATCTAAACATGTATTTAGATTTTTGATTATGGGCCCAGTTTTCAAGTTGGTCCAAATTGGGGTCCAAAATTAAACTTTGTTTGATTTCAACAAAAATTGAATATATGAGGTTCTTTGATATGCTGAATCTAACCATGTATTTAGATTTTTTATTTGTAGGCCCCGCTATCAAATTGGTTCATATTGAGGTCAAAAGGGTCCAAAATTAAACTTTGTTTGATTTCATCGAAAATTGAATTATTGGGGTTCTTTGATATGCCAAATCTAACCGTGTTTTTAGATTTTTAATTTGGGTCCCGTTTTTTAAATTGGTCTTCATTGAGGTCCAAAGGGTCCAAAATTAAACTTAGTTTGATTTTAACAAAAATTGAATTCTTGGGGTTCTTTGATATGCTGAATCTAAACATGTGTTTAGATTTTTGATTATGGGCCCAGTTTTCAAGTTGGTCCAAGTTGGGGTCCAAAATTAAACTTTTTTTGATTTCAACAAAAATTGAATATATGGGGTTCTTTGATATGCTGAATCTAACCATGAATTTAGATTTTTTATTTGTGGGCCCCGCTATCAAATTAGTTCATATTGAGGTCAAAAGGGTCCAAAATTAAACTTTGTTTGATTTCATCAAAAATTGAATTATTGGGGTTCTTTGATATTCCAAATCTAACCGTGTATTTAGATTTTTAATTTTAAGTCCCGTTTTTTAAATTGGTCTACATTAAGGTCCAAAGGGTCCAAAATTAAACTTAGTTTGATTTTAGCAAAAATTGAATTCTTGGGGTTCTTTGATATGCTGAATCTAAACATGTGTTTAGATTTTTGATTATGGGCCCAGTTTTCAAGTTTGTCCAAGTTGGGGTCCAAAATTAAACTTTGTTTGATTTTAACAAAAATTGAATATATGGGGTTCTTTGATATGCTGAATCTAACCGTGTTTTTAGATTTTTAATTTGGGTCCCGTTTTTTAAATTGGTCTTCATTGAGGTCCAAAGGGTCCAAAATTAAACTTAGTTTGATTTTAACAAAAATTGAATTCTTGGGGTTCTTTGATATGCTGAATCTAAACATGTGTTTAGATTTTTATACGACCGCAAAAAAATTTTGAGGTCGTATATTGGTATGACGTTGGCGTCGTCGTCGTCGTCGTCGTCGTCGTCGTCCGGCGGCGTCGTCCGAATACACAATGGTTTTCGCACTCTAACTTTAGTTAAAGTGAATGGATCTCTATGAAATTTTACCATAAGGTTCAATACCACAATAGGAAGGTGGGGATTGATTT